GGCGATCTCCACCGCCAACGCGTCACCCATGGCCAGGGTACCCAAACACAAATACAATGAACCTGAGTGTACTGAAGGATCATAACATTGTAAATGGGCAACCTCTGAAGCGGAGTATCGGATACCGATTGCATTGCGCTGAGCCCTCTTTGAAGAAACCCCGAAGGTACAATAGAATTCACACAAGTCGTCGGAGGAGATCACAAGCTGTTCGTCGTCGGCGGGCGTAATCATAGAAACCAAATAACCGGGGGCAAGAGTTTTGGTGTAGTTCGAATACGAGAACGACCTAGAGTTCACAACGCTCGGGTTCAAGATGAGGCGATCGAACTCGCTGTCTTTGGGGACAGCGAAAAGTCCAACCGTCTCCACTGGATCAACCCTTTCGCAGGACACCAGATTGCATGCCCCCAATTGGTCCCACTTCTCAGCCAACGCCAGCACCTCCGACTTGGATGCATGCACTTTTGCTTTAGCAACACGAGGCCAGTCGGTCTTTGGCCGTCGCAACACTTCAGGGTCTTCGAACGCTTGCTGAATGATTGGATCAGTCAGATATGGACGGGGATCGAAACTCGGAGCCAGCTTCCACTTTATTCTAGAGGCTTTGACAGGCATGGCTGTGCAAGCGTTCAAAGACAACTTTTGCGGGTGGCGTGCACCCTGGTCGTGCTGGGCAGAGCCTTTGCCAGAGTTCCTTCTTTCTGAACCGTCACTATTCCGACTACGTGGATGCGAGCACGAATCAAAAGAGGATTGAAGAGGTTTAAAAAACTAGCAATATCATCGAATTCAAACTCCTTGGAAAAATTGGGAGTGTAAAAGCTGCAGCGCTCAAATTCTTCAGTTTCTCACCGGCTCTACCCAAATTATCCAGGGTTACCTCACCACAACCCAAATAATACTCAACCAAATCTTCGAGCCTCTCAATCATCGCTTCTTGGCCACCTGAAACAGGAAAGCCGGCACGGGCATAGTCAGGAGGAGACCTGCATTGTCCAAGGGCCAGCCAATTCATCGTGATGATCAGCCTCTGGACGCAGATAGCTCGAGCTTGGAGGTGGCTTCTCTTCTGGGATTTGGAGAAACTGAAGTGTCGGCCGTCCATCGCCTCGGAGGGGGACAAGGCCAGAGATCGCCTCGCGGTTGCAAGGCCCAAGCATTGTGGACAGGGTGACAGCTGCGATGGAGAAAATGAGCAAGATCCGAAGCAGACCCCGCTGCTGTAGCAATCGCTGTCACCACCTCGGTGCACCTAATTGGAACTGGAAACTGACCGCCCGGGTGGTGGATCCCGGGGAAGGCTTCATGCTCTGAGGCCGTGCAGCTTCCGTCTCTTGGCTCGTAGCCGAACTGCCATGGGACTAGGGGAGAGGGCGACGGAGTGCACTTGGCTCCATCTAGGCAGTCGACCCTTCTGTGGTCGCGCCAGCATTGGCCTTCTTTTTCTTTGGCCTCCAGGGCTTCTTTGGAGCTGCCTCTTCGCGCCCGTCCTCCTGAGCTTCGACTCCTTTCGTGGTTCCTGAGGTGGCCTTCATCTTTGACTCGAGGAAATCTAAGTCCTTCATGAATGCCACGTTGGCTCCAACCCAGCTCGCATTGGCTAGGCGACTGAATGGGCTCAGAGTGTTCGGAAGCCTGTTCTTCTGACAGATGCTGTACTGAGGCTCGGGCAGGGCCGTGAGAAGCCAACTCAACTTTGTTTTGTTGAAGTCCATGGCTGTCTGATCTATGTAGACCAAGCCCCGACTCGCAATGGCCATGAGCTCGATGTTGTTGGACCGGAAGCCGGTTTCCCAGGCGAAAGCCCAAAGGTAAGCTTGCTGTGTCAAGTGGCGATTGTCTCCAAGCGGGCAGCGCTTTTCGATGTAATCCCGCATGAGGCCCGGGCCCACACTTGAAAGTTCTATCCAGAGCTCGCGGGCCGCATTTGCCATCACGACGGAGGAGAGTTTGGGCAAGTCCTCCATCAGGCGAATGAAGGCCTCCCTGGCCATACATCCTTTGATCCCTGCACTGGCCGTGCTTGAAGACTCTCCCCCACCACCGCATGAGCGCGGCTGAAATCGGGTCCTGCTGCTTTTGCTCGCCAGTCTCGACAGCCTCTAGGCCTTCCTCCTGCTGCAGTGACTCCAAAACCTGCTCTGGTCTCTGGGCCCTTTGAGCTCGCTCGTGTGCACAGAACCGCATTGGAGCCGCTCCCGCCAAGCTTCGCAGTCTGGCCAAAGCTTCCTCTCGAGGCTCGGTGTTGGGTATTGCTCGAGCTCCATCGAATAAGACTCCTCGGCTTGGTGTCACTGAAGTCGCAGGACGTCTGGCCGGAGGAGTGGCGGCGGCAGGTGATTGCTGCCTCAACAAAGCTTGGCTTCTAACTCTGACACCCTTCTTTGCAAAGCGTCGAGGTGCACTGAGCCATCTCCTTCAGCACCGGCCGGATCTTCCTCCACAAGGAGTTCCTCTTCTGAGAGCCCTGTCACATAATCTCCAGCTGTATCGTCGTCCATGACCTCGTGAATCCATTGCTCGGCCACCCCTTGCAGGGCTGAACGTCGAGGTCTCGAACGTACTTGAACTGCGCAAGGGATGAGCTCGCATGAACAATGCAACCATCTCCCAGACCAAATCGACCAGAATGCATGGTCCATCTGCGAGCACTCTGCCCCGTGGAGTTTCCATGAGGACCTCGGTGGGGTAAATGGCACAAGCCTCTGAACCATCGGAGGTGCACTGCTCTCTCAGAAACTGGGTGACCTCGACAAAGTCTGGTAGGACCACAGCCGCCAGAGCGAATCCTCACCAAAAAAGCGGTGACCCGCAACCCTGTCCCATCTTCCTTGGCCGGCAAGACCAAGAAAAGAGCTGGCAGCTGCCCTGAGGGAGGGACAGAATCCCACAGGGCACGTAGTCCCAACTCGTCTAAGGTCGGCGCAGGAGCGCCGGCCATGGCCGCTGAGCACCAATGAGGTACGCCTCCGCCTCAGCACGCGAGGGGAAGGCGTGGCACACTGCGTCTCCGTGGGTGTCAGCGTGGCGCCCAAGCACCTGATCTGGGGCCACTGCGGGCAGGCTCCAGGATGATGTAGATCTTTGAGGGCAAGGTCAAAGCGGATGTAGTCCCAGCTGAGCAACGACCACGGTCCAACTTTTCCTTAGCTTGCACTCCAGCTCTCAATGCTCGACCCAGACGTCCGAGTGGGCTCCAGCCGTTGCTACTGCTGCGAATGCGCGGCAGCAAATGAGTGACCGGGCTCAAATCCAGACCTTCGATCTCTTCCGGAGTGAGGGCAGCAATCAGGGCCCTCTCCAACTCCGGAGTGTGAGGCACAAAAGCTGAAGCTCCAGCCGCAACAGGCTCCCAAGATCCAGGATCAGAGGCCGCTGCTGAAGTAGTTGAGCCCTGCTCAACTGTGGCCCGTGCAGGGCCTGCAAGGGCACCCTGAGGGGGGGACCCTGTAGTAGAAGGCGCTGCGGCGCGGCCAGCGCCTGCTTGATAACCTCCTGCTCTCTCAACTCGGATCCTGAGATCCCCAAATTCCACAACTAGCTGGTCCAGCTGGCGCCCAGGCCCCATGCACAGCACGATACTGCCCTAGCCTGCGCCTCAAAGTGTCGCCTTGAGGAAGAGGATCGACCAGAGCGGCAGCGCACCCAGAAATGAGCCTTCTGCAAGAAGCCGAGAGCGCAGTCAAAACCACGAGGCCCCCACAGATGCAGCCCAAGCAGCAAGCCAGGATGAGGAGTAAGAGCACCAAGGGAAGGCTGAGGCCAGAGGAGCTGCACTGAACGGGCCACGCCCAGCGGAGCTCTCGAAGGAGATCAAGAGCAAAGGTCAAGCTCATTGACCACCGCTCGAACCAAAAGACTTTGAGCGGTGAAAGCTCACATCACTAAAGGGATAGAAAGCATAGTCTTATATATAGTTCCTTGGCATTCAAACCATTAAAAACCATGGATGGCCACAAATCTAGGATCTTTTGAGTCGGAACAGCAAAATCCTCGTGAATTTCATGCATCGTGTCCGACTATCCTCTCAAAAAAATCTGTCACTTGACCCCCAGCAGACTGTGCAGAACTCTATCCTAGAAAACTTCCGGTTGAAGACTTCGAAGTTCATGTTGAGAGCTTCTCAAAAATTCATCCAGGACATGGCAACCCATGTAGGTTGGGACATAAAACCTATGAAAATCTACCCCAAGAATGCGGGCCCGTTTTTGGTGTCGGGTCCGACTACTGCCGAGGCCCCACGATTTTGAGGCATCACCCATCTGGAACACCCAAGGATTGTTGCAACGACTAAACCTACACAACGACTAAACGCCGTCACGAACCGTGCCCAAAGACCCTACGGAAGCTTCCGAGGCTGTGGGGTTTTCCCAGATGAATGGAGGCGTCGCCTACGACTTCCGCCAGCATGACATGGTCGGCAAGCAGAAAATGGACCAAACATCTCAGCCTAACCGGGTTAGGCTCAATACAAAATCATCTATCCTTCCTATCTTTGCTATGTTCCAAGGGCGCTAACTTAAGAGGCGCCCTTACTAATCTGGAACCACCTCAGAGGTGGATCTGGACATCCCTAGCCTAACCCTAGAAGTCCAAAGACTATATTTTGCCCCACTGAAGTAAAGCATATTCCCTTTTGATAGTCTTTGACTCCCAGGGCTAAGTCATGACGCAACCGAGGCATTGCAATTGCGATGCACTCTGCGATATTGATATTGCTGCATACATCAGTGAGTGTTGCCCACAGTGTTGCTCACATCTCATTGCTACCCTCCAACAACAAACATGGAGGTGGAAAATGGTGGTTTCCAGGTCCCCGAAAGGAAGACGGTTTTCCTCTACTAGCTGGGGATTGTCCACGTTCCATGATTCCTTCAGCGTCTGCTTTGCTTTTCCCGCCCCCCGCGAGCGAACAGAACCGACCAGCCGAACCGACGAGTCGTCCCAGCTGGAAGGGACCTGTGACGACCCCTTGTTCCGCAACAGGTGGCCCGAACGGGAGGCTTGTGAAGCACAGGTTGCCCATGGCAAAGACCTCAGGAGTCCGTGATGGATGCTGCCCTCCGGGCCCGGTCCGGACCCCTGATGGGACCCCAACCCTCTGGGCTTCGAAAGGAAACCACGGGGGTCATGTTCCAAATGGGGACGATCCGCTGGTCATCGTGTCAAATCCTTCGTGAAACGAGGGTTGTTCGGTATAAAGGCTATTAAATGGTGGGCCACGACTTCTAGCGACTGAGTGGACTACTCATCAGATTGGCTGCATCGCGTGGTCGGGTTCGGAACTTCAACACATGCCGACTGTTTTGAAGAGGTTGAGGAGAGAGAGAGAGAGAGAGAGAGAGCCTCCGGTGACTCTCCAAAAGAACCCGGACAGGAACCCGCGAAAGCGGAGGTTGGCCCCCGGAGCTGGTGGAACGAACTGACACTCGAAGGGTTCTCGGAGCCCCCCGTTCCAGGGGCAGGGTTGGTGGGGACGAGAATCCCCGAGCAAGTGGAGCCGACCTAGCAATGGAAGGGGCGGAAGGGGCAGTTCACCCATCTTCTTGTCCAGGCAGTGTGCAGTTTGGGGTTTCCCTGAGGCTTTACTTTCAGAAAACGGCTCATTCTTTCGCATGAGTGATGGTCCCCTCTCGCTTCACCTATTCCGGTGCTTCAAAACGCTTCCTTCGTTGGCCACGGGCGCTCCCAACGCCGGCAACGAAGGACGGCGAAGGCGTTCGCTGCGCAGCGGCGGAAGAACCACACTGAGTCGACTCAGGGGCTTATTGCAATGGTTTCAGGCAAATGCCAGAAAAAGAGAACTCTCTACCAGGACCCTCCAAGGGGTGCCCTGTCTGGAAGCCAGTGTGGTAGTGTGGGGAAGTCCATTGGACACCCCTTGGAGGGTCCTGGTACATGTCTTCTGAATTCATAGATGGGGGCTCCATATCAACCACCGAACTTGGGGTAACGACTGTGGCATCGAACCTCTGAAACCACTTGCAATTTACTGGAAGTCAAGCTTAAAATGGTTGATCTGCTTTTGTGTTCGGGATGACCAGGCCATTAAAACAATGGTGGGCCACGACTTCTAGGGAATTGCTTCAATTTCATGTTCGTTCCCGGAAAAGATCGGATGCCGAAACTCGGTCGCCGCGTTCAGCCGCGTGTTCGGTTTCGTGGAGCCGCAGGCGTCCGGAAACGAAGCGGGAACTGGCCGAGTCGCATGGCGGGCGGTGGGGTCCATCCCCAAGACAATGGTGGGTGGACCTTTATACTTTCTAGTGTATGGTCTATTCGGTTGATTTTGGAGACTCAGGTAGGGCCGCGTTTTATTTGAAGGATTTTTTTCCGTTTTTTTGGGGAATTTTTTTCTGGTCCTGTTGTGGGCGCCTTCCCTCAGGCTCGTGTCTCCAAAATGATAGTTGTTTCTCCGTGAGCTGGCCAACCTGCAGCAGCACAGTGCTCACGACACTGGCCACTGCAGGCAGCACAGCTTTGCAAGCTGGCCACCTGCAAGTGCTCACCTTCTTTCCTTCATTCCTTTCTTGCTGCCTTCTGTCCTTCCCTTCCCTTCCTTCCTTCCTTCCTTCCTTCCCTCCTTCCTTTCTTCCTTCCTGCATCACATAAGCAAAGCAAGGATAGCGAACAGCCACAAAAGCAAAAAGCAACAAAAGCCAACAGAAGCCTTCGAAAGTCAACACAAGTCACCAAAAGCCGACAGAAGCCAGCAAAAACCAACAGAAGCGAGCAACAGCTACCAGAAGCCACTAAAAGCCACCAGAAGCCAACAAAAGCCACCAGAAGCCACCAAAATCCCACAGAAGCCAACAAAAGCCACCAAAAGCCAGGAAAAGCCACCAGAAGCCAGCAAAAGCCACCAAAAGCTACCAGAAGCCACCAGAAGCCGACAAAAGCCAGCAAAAGCCAACAGAAGCTAGCAAAAGCTACCAGAAGCCACCAAAAGCCACCAGAAGCCAACAAAATAGCCACCAGAAGCCAACAAAATAGCCACCAGAAGCCACCAAAAGCCACCAGAAGCCACCAGAAGCCACCAGAAGCCACCAAAATCCAACAGAAGCCAACAAAAGCCACCAAAAGCCAGTAAAAGCCACCAGAAGCCAACAGAAGCTAGCAAAAGCTACCAGAAGCCACCAGAAGCCAACAGAGATACCTAATGCCTAAACGTGAAAAAAAAAAAAAACGAAAAAAAACTCCTAGAAAAATATGAGTTCCCTCAGGTAGTTGCTGTAGGATTCAAATGAGGTTCTGTGATGATATGCCGGGCACCCCCATCCACCATCCACCAGCGGCACAACTGGCTGGCTGAGGCGCGATGTTGGAGATATTCTGCTCCTGGCGGACCCAGGAGGAGAACACCTTGGGGGGGCGTTTGACCCAGAGCTCGCTTTGCTTCCTCCCTAAACCTCCTGGCCCCACGTCCTCAGGTGGTTAGACCCCGGCACCCACCCCAAGCACCGAACTCCGTTGACCGACTCCACGTCGACTCGTGGTGGCCGACCCTCTGGGTGCAGCACTCCAAGAAGCCGAACCAGGAACCAGGTTCGTTGGGTCCAGTGGTCTCCAAAACCATGAAAAGTGATGGAGACCACTGGAAGGTCAAGAGTTCTTGTTCAAAACCTGCGTCTTCTTCCGTCTGATTGCTTTGCACCTTGACTCTTTCAGAGTGTTTTTGGGCAGCACACCACGCCCGACGCCCGCGCGCTGGCGGCACGTCCCCACGTCGCTGGCGGCACGTCCCCACGTCGCACCCGGCGGCCCGGGCTCCGTCATGTCGTCGAAGCGCAGGGGCATGTGTTGGGCCACGGCCGTCAAGAGTGCTGGGCACCTGCGACTGGTGCGGGGGTGTGACGACGGTGGAGTTGGAACCTCCGTTCCAAAACCGCAGACTGGAGCCTCGAAATGGACTGCATGGCTTTTTTGAGGTTCCATGTCAAATCTGCAAGACCCTACAAGTCAGTTTGACCTCACTGGAGATGCTCATACAAAAGTACTAGACTTGAGCAGGTCAAGTCGACCAGGTTTTACTGGGCCAGACTGGACTTGTAGGGGGAAGTTCTCCCTTCCACCGGATTTGAAAACAAGTTTCCTCCCCCATCCTCAGGTGAGGAACTCGGTTCTCCAACTTCGCAAGAAAACCGAGTCACGGGAGTTCCACGGTCGACTAGCACGGAACGATCTTCTTATGGCTTATGTCATTGCAGAAACTGGCCAAATAAAAGCAACACGTCTTGTCCGTTTTCAGACCTGAATCTCATGGAAAGGCACAATGATCTCTCGTGGAAAAGCACCTTTGGGCGGTTTTAGGTCTGAAGTCCCATGAAACTGTCATAACATATATACATATATATATATACACTATATATACATGTATATACATATATACATTATGTATATATATATTATAACTTTAGCGGTCCCCAAATAGACAGTGGCACGGATTCCAATACCTGTTTAGTGGGGATCTGCTCTTCTATCTGTATATCAGAACCTTTTTGATGTCATTGCAGTTGCGAAAAGTTGTTGAACAAAAACCGCTGGATTCTGCCTACTATTGGCACTGGCTCAAATAGGGTCATTCCATGTGGCCAATGTCGATCCAGAGCAGCATCAGCTAGCTGGTCAGGTCTTGATGTTGGAGCCATACCATGTCACAGTCTCATAGTCGGGGACCACCTGACTTTCCTCAAGTTTTGAGTCCAGGCCACGGATGCTCCAGCAGCCCGAAGCTATACACCTGCCACGGCGACTAAGACCCGAAGCAAAGACCAAGGAACGCGAATGAAAACATAGGCCCGGCAGCGCCCTAGGTTTAGGGTTTGGGGCTTAGGGTTTCTCAACACAACTTTAGATTCTCCAAACCCTTTGGAGCCCCAAAGATGTGGCTCAAGCAAGGCAGCTCAAAATCGGCTGTTCATCAATTGATGTTCGTTGCTTTCGCTGTGTGAATATCAATTGAACTGAAAATTCCACAGGACTTAGGACTTGAGACAAACACATGACAGTGTGCTTGCTTGCCTTGGACTGAGACCAAAAGAATAGATTAGATCCAGGATCCCCTGAGTTTAGGAGGTTGTGGTTGCCTCTGTGAAGAGCAAAATGTCCCACAAAATAGAAGAACCCGTTGCATCCCATGGTCTTACCTGGTTGATCAGGATCGATGAACGGACGGGTTGATAATGCGTCAAAATCGCATCGCAAGCACTGCCGTATCTCACCGTGTCTGGATGTCTGGAGAAGTTCTGCTGCTGGTCAGCCCCAGAAAAACACCATGCACCATGAACCACAATTGGAAACAAACGCCGCAATCAACTCACAACAAGGCACATCCACTCACCAACACAGTGCCGCTCCAACAAGTATCTGACACTGATGCAACAACACCTCTCTCCACCTGGAGAAGGAGTGGTTTCCAGGTAGTGCCAGCTGGTTCCAGAGATTCGCTGGCCTGTTGTAAACCCCCAAGTGAGTCTAAGCCACTGAACATGGGGAAACTGATGCCATCTATACCCAGCCCCACGACAGGGGTGCTTCTTGGATGGGAAAGACATAGTCAGGGGTGCCATCTATACTCTCAATCCATGATATTGTCTTAAGATGTTTGAGGAAACCAGGTTTGCGAGGTCTATGGTGTTTTAGTCTTTGGAAGTTACCAGCCTGTCGTGGGTTGCCTTCAAATTCAACAGAAATCATCACAGGGAGCACTGAAACTCCGGCGCCGTCGACCAAAAAGACCGGTCCGCGTGGAGAATCCGCGCCGGGCCCACCACATTGCCCAAGCCTCCCAGAAGTGGCGCGAGTGGCGGAAGATGGACGATGTACTACCCCCAAAAAGGGTTTCCGTCTTCCTGTCCTCAGAAGGTGGTTTTCTACCCCCATGAATCCTTAACCATCCTCCCATGTCAAACCTCAATGGCCGGAAACGAGTCCATTCCAACACGCGGTTCAACGAGTCCACTAGCATCCACCCTTCGTTGCAACCAGGCGATGTCGACACAAGACATCGGTCCATGTCGAAGACACATCGTGCCTAGCTGGCCTAGCTGGCCCGAACATCGTTCGCCGGACCCAGTTTTATCATATAAAAACATGGGTGTGCAGTTTTACTTAGGGAGGCCCCCAACCCATGGGTGTTGGTCTATTTCCTTTCTTCCAGAGAGTCTTTGGGAGATCTCCCCATGTTGACATACGCCCAAAATCTTTCCTCGCGCCCTTGTTGGTGCCCTACATGGCATCTCAGGCATGGGAAGCACTTCACACAAAGCCATCCAAGCCCTGCCTTTCTGCCTCAGAATGCCCTACTCTACAACCCAAACCCTACGCTACACTCCCGAAAGCTCACATGAACCCTGAGAATGGCACCCTGAAAGACATATACCAGCACCTTCAAAAGGGTCTCCAATAGACTACCCTACACGACTTAGGGATCTCCATTGAGCACCCCTTTGAAGGTTCAGGTATCGTTGTTTACACTTGATCTCCATTGAGCACCCCTTTGAAGGTCCAGGTATCGTTGTTTACACTTGATCTCCATTGAGCACCCCTTTGAAGATCCAGGTATCGTTGTTTACACTTGATCTCCATTGAGCACCCCTTTGAAGGTCCAGGTATCGTTGTTTTGTTTACACTTGATCTCCATTGAGCACCCCTTTGAAGGTCCAGGTATCGTTGTTTACACTTGATCTCCATTCAGCACCCCTTTGAAGGTCCAGGTATCGTTGTTTACACTTGATCTCCATAGAGCACCCCTTTGAAGGTCCAGGTATCGTTGTTTACACTTGATCTCCATCGAGCACCCCTGCGAAGGTCCAGACAGCGTTGTTTACACTTGATCTCCATTGAGCACCCC